ACGGTTTATTCGCGACAACGATCTCGCTTGTTTAATGCACGTGTTATCCGACGAGTGAAAGCGCCTCCGCGAGATTACAAAAGATTGCGATTGCTCAAATCTCAAGTGTCGTATTTATTTTAATTCTCAAACGGATCCTTTAGACTGACGCTGGAACATCGGTTCTTGTGCCGAGTACCAACGACGTTCTCTCACTCTTTTCCCGCAAATGTAAAACAGATTATACTGAAATCAACGGAACTCAAAGCGCGGTGTGTAAACGAGATGCAATCGTGACAGAGTACCACGTTTTACATTCACATTTTAGACGAGTTAATTCCTACGAAATAAATATCTATATTGATAAAAAGCCGTTGTTCGCCGTACAAATCGTTTTTCATTACAAGGTAGTGAAACTAATACTTAATCGATGAACCTTACCTGTTATCGATGAATCATCGTGTCTCGGGAACTGATAACGCAAAAGCGATACGACGCACGGAGCGACTCGCGACGCTGCCTGCCGGCTCGAGGTTCGGTGAGCGAATGATAGCGCGGCGACCTTCACGCACACAATGGCACGCAGAACGTCGCGTGATACCGCGCGGGTAGCAAAACAAAAAAAACGTTCAGAGTTCGTTGTCTCGCCTACGAAATGTGAAATAAATATTAGTTGAACATTCTATACCTGATATTGTCCAAATTTTACTTTGCCCAGTGACTGTTGCTGCACGTATTCTGCGTATCACTGTTCAAGATAACGATTGACTTCGTTCAATTGAGAATGTTTTGACACGAAAATCGTCACTTAAGTTCTAATTACTGAGAGATACTGCCTCAATTTAGTTAACGTGTACAAGTGTACGTTATCTAATTGCAATTCTTTAACATGAATTTTCTAATTGAAAAAGAAGTAGTGTCTCTTTTAAAAGGGGAATCCTCGATTCTTGAATCCTCGCGTTAATTTCAAGCTGCGATGTGAAAATCTCCAGTTTTACAAACATTTACATTCGTAATTGATTTTACGATCACGTTCTTATCAGATTAATCTTTTATGCACTTACGCTATAATTCGTGTATCGATGCGAAGGAAAAAAAAAGAGAAAATGCGCGTGCGGTCCAATAAAAAATACAGTCACTAACACTGGCTGAATTCAATATAGTTGCGCGATCATTATTCATAATTGGCCGGCTCGTTTCTTTAATGCCCGCATTGTTAGGTAATAGCATTTCTCGGATTTATAAAAGAATGCAATATCGCGAGGATTCCGCGCGATGATGGAGTAGTTATGATTAGATTAGGCACGTTAAGAACGCTGCGGAAATTAAAATTTCAAACAGATGTACGCTACGAAATTGGACGGATATTGTCGGCGATACCATTACAGTTTTTATAATCTTATTTCGATTTCTTGCAGTCCCGCAATGTAACATAATTGCACGCTCGATATAATTGCGGGCAATTATTGTTAATTACTGTTTAATATGAGTTAAATTGTTCTGACGTCACGCGGCGAAGGTTTGGTCATTTCTCGAATCGCGTGTGACTGTAATTACAGGTCGAACATAATTGTGAGTAATTATCGATAATTATTTAGTAATCCGAGGTCGATTGTCGCTCGGCGGAATTGGAAAACCATTTATAAACTTTCTGACAAGGAAATTCTTCGTAATTACCGATTTTGCGAAATTATACCGGGCTCGATGCAGGTACTGCGCTACAAAGTAATAATTATCAAGAACAATCTCGAGGAACGTCTAATTAAAATATTGTATCAAGGTGAAAGTTCATAAAAAAGAATAGAGTATTTTCATCAACGGCAGGTACGTGTACGAGTGCAGTAACAGACTTTATACCCTCGCGGAATTAGCATTCCACTTTTACAATTGCGGCATATAGACGCGATTCACTTTATTTGTATTAATTTTATTTATAATTACATCGAAATTGAGACTCCCCGAGTCTCGTATTCTGCGCGAACACGCGTGACCGGGATTATTGACTCCGCGATGTGGTATATCGGTGATTATTACACCAATCAATTCGCGTCCGAAGGAAGGGAGGGCCCCGTGATGGCGTGGCGAAAGGGTTTAATTACGTGCGTCTCGGCGATGACGAAGACAAATACCTAAGTGTGATTGCCAGTAGTAAACTCGTTGAGTTTTCGATCAGCTGGTACCACCGTGACTAAAGTTCCTCGACGTGCCGACCGCGAGAAACGCTGCCCGTTACCGCCTGGACGTGATTGAGTTGCACCGGATTCGGGAAGATCGCTTTTGCGTCATAGCGTCGACGGTTCGACGAAAGAAAAAAAGAAAGAACTTTGGTTTCTATTGAATTATTCTTTCCTCGGCTAGCGTGCGTGAATTACTTGGCGCTTCTGCGGCACGATGCCAACAATTGAAATTAAACTTGTATCTCGAGATATTTTATGTATCAAAGCTGATGTTTCTTCTACAATACATATCTTTCATAAGCTATATGCATATTTTCAAAAAAAAACCTGTTCCTGCCGAGATATTTCGATGCCAAAGTGTTAAAGTTAAAACGCGACACCCCGTGCACACAATTTGTATTTTGATACTTAAAATTTGTTTCGTTAAATGCCAGTTTCTCTGTCCTTCCAATTATTTTATCAATTGCGTTGGACTAATATCCAAAAGTTATTCCTTCATAAACTCATATAAATTAAATCAGAAACGATCGAGAATAAAAGGAGAAATCGGACATTGCAGCCCTGCCGTTACAACGTTTGCAAAAAGTGTGAAGAAAAAAAAGACTCGCGACAGACACTAAGAAAAGTCCTCTTAATACCAGATGACTGGCCGTGAAGAAGCGGATTTCCTGCGCGCTCTCGAAAGGTTTATTAATCTTTGTTAACTGCAACCCACTCTTAAATTCGCATCCCCGAATGTCCGGCGGGCCAAGGGCCCTCCTCCTTGGGCAGGACTGTCGATCTTCTACGCTTTCGCTCAGCAATCTGTCTCTCGAGGCCGACAGCGGCGGTGTCACGCCTAGTAGCCGCGGCTAGCCGCGTCGGGAGAAATTTTAATAAACGGTTCCCCGGGTTACCGATGCCCGCATACACACGTAACACGCACGTACGCGGCGATGGTTGTGGAGGTGTTGCCTGGTAGCCGGCAGAACGACGCGGCCGGGGGAGAGAGGTTAATCACCCACGCTGGATTTTAATAAACGGTTCGGGGGGCAAACAAAGCTGGCCATCAATAACCACGGCGCTACCTCGCTCTCTCGCTCCGTCTCTCTTCCACCATCCCGGGAATACCGGGGGGCCCTCCACGGCCCACCTCGCCGCCTGACCGACCCGCGGCCATGCCAGGGCCTTTGCCACCAGCTTGTCGAGTCTCGCAGCGGACAGCGAGATAGGCGGAGATTGTATCTCCGTGGTTATTAATTAACCGGCGAGAAGGGAAGGCCCCCTTTCATCACCTCGCAAACGATATCGCCTTCAGCGAGAGAGGGCCCTCGGCCTTGCCCTAGCATATAGATAGCATACAACCGCGCTCAGCTCGGGGACCTCTCGCTTCGTACGATTATTCCGATGTTTGCGCGTACACGAGGGGACAGATTGTCACGCGTGCGAGAGTGGGGCTATCGATTGTGTATTGTACATGTCATTAGGCATCGTGGAGATTATCGAACGAGATCACAATGACGTTCTCGTTTGCGCTAGTCTGCTACGTTACATCGAAACGCGGAATATCAAATGAGACTGGTGTGGCATTTTGTTCCTTGTTCAAAAAATGAAGCGAGTATCGGGCATGAAACGAATAAACATCGTTGTCGCGCGAGCAGCTTACATTCTGTTACCTTGAAAGAAAACTTGTAACTTTTATCTTTGCATTGAGGCGATATCAGAAGTACACGTAGATAAGCGAAGCCTAGAGTACACTTCTCGTTATCAGCCGCTTACAAATGTGCCTACTTGAATTGCATTGAAAATAATTCGCACGAGAGGTAAAAGCGTAAGACTCGGGCAACGACAAACGCGATCCGCTTCCTCGTTATGGAATTTGTAGGGGAAGTGAAATTAGACCCGGCGAGATCCGCGCGTCGCGATATCGAGGTATCTCGCGGAAAAATCAATACGAAACGGCGTAATGGGCACTTACCCGTTTATGGACGTTCGACTGATGAACCAGGATAACGCCGACCTGGCTAACGAGTGCCAAGCCTGCAGGGGCAGCGAGTCGGATCTCTCCGCGGATCTCACGAGGAAAATTTCGGCGGCTTTGTCGGGCTGGTCGGCATTGGGACCGGTACCGAGCGGGACCCACAAATCCAGCAGATCTTCTCTGATCTTGGTTTTGTCCACCCTGTACCACTGTAAAAATACAAACATAATTGTTAGCCTCGTTCTTATCTCGATCGCGCTTTTCTCGCATCATTAAATTATTTCATTCAAAAATTTCACCTCGGCGAGAGTTTTCTTTCCGCAATTCTACACGAGTGAAGAGTACACTGATAAAAAAAATACTACTTTACTCAAGAAAATTATTCATTAGGTGACTCCTAATAGCTTATTAACTTAAATTTAAAAAATAATTAATTAATTAAAAGATCTATTGCTTTAAGTATTTATTAAATATCGAAGAATAGATAATTTTAAATTTAAAAAACTTATTTTAATTCTATAAAATGTTTACCAAGATGTAATTTTCACAGCGAAGAAAATTGAATTTCTTATTTAACAAAAACAATTATAAATAGTTTTCTATATCTCATGAAATCTTTATTTGAATGTAGAAAATGTAATGATTTAAATTAATTTACTTAATACAATACATAGATTAATTTAAAATTTGATATTTTTATTTAAATAGAATAAATATTTGCTTCAGCAAAAAAATAAGTTTAAGTAAATCATTTACTTAGTTTAAACAAATTTTTTTGTCGGTGTACTTTTCGGTCGTATTTTACTGCTAATAAGCCGATTAATAAAAAATAATCTTGACTGTGAGCGACGTGATATTGCGAAATCTATACTCGAATTTTATTTTGTACGATGGACTCTTAGGTTTATATCTGCACCCGAGAGCAGAAGTCAATTTTTATAAGCTGCTTGTTTGGAAAAATTTGAAAGACTTTTTTCAACAAAATAATAAAATAAACAATCAGAGCGTTCAGTCGAGATAAAACCTGAAAATTGATAATTTTACAGTTACGACAGTTTACTTCTCAGGTACGAATATAAGATCCTGCAGCATCGTGGTATATAAGTACCTGTGTATGTATCATATAAAAAAAATAATATAACCAGGCATAATAAGAATTTATTTTCTCGAAACGTTGCGCAATCTTGCGGGCGAAATTATTTGATCGCTAAAATCACCTTGCCGTACAAAGTACATCAATTTGCGGGAATAAAATTCGCCAAGTTCCAAGGATATATTCCATTAACGTCCCACCGGGCGGGCCGCCGAAAATGTATTTCTCGCTTCATTACGGCCGCGTATTACGGTATTAACGATACGTATATATCCCCTCGGTCGCGGAACAATTTTCCCCTCGAATCTCTCTCACACATTTCGAGAGTTTGCGTAATTACGCGCCGCTGGGTTTCTTCTTTCATTTTCCGCCCTGCCCCTCGCGTTCTCTCGCGCAAGGTACACACGTCCCGTCGTTGACGGGAGGATACGCGTCGCCGGCGCCGCTTTCGACACGTTAACGCGCGAGAAACAATAAAAACCCACGCCCGAAAAGTCTTGCCTTTTATTAAAGCGCCGTGCGCTCGAGTGACGCGCGGCCGTGATCATTGAGCATTCTTCGCGCTTCATTATCGAAGTCGCGTATCGCGGGCATTAACGATTCTTTTCTCGCCTGCCGTCCTCGTCCTCGCCGCGAAACGCCGCACAGTCCGAAAAGCAATTACCTTGACCGGTCGGCCGGTCGGTCCACCGGGCCTCGCGCTACACGACAGATATCCGATTTCACCGTCAGCTTCCGAGAATGAGAACCAATTACGCGGCCCCGGGGCATTAAGGAATCGATCTAATTTGCGCGCGCGCTCGGCGGCGCGGCGCGGAGCGGAGCGGCGCGGCGCGAAGCGAAGCGGCGGGCTCTTAATGGCGAGAGAGAGCCGGCCGATGAAATTATACGAAAATGTAATCAAGGCGCTTTTTGTCTCGTTTCGCTCCGAGCGGGGCAGGGGCGTAATTAGGAATGCTTTTGCGCCTCGCGACGGGAGACACTTGTTGCGCTCCGCTCCTCTCCCGCTCCCTCATTTTCTCTCGCCGAGTCTCCCCTCCCGCTCCTATTCCTTTTTTTCCTCTCCTTCGTTT